GTACATGTTATTATGTGTCAGAAGAGGGCTTAGGAAATGATAATACAAAAAACAAAATAAAATGGACCAAAAGGCTGGGGGCAAGGAGCAAAAGGGGCAGGTGCTCAGGCCCCTTCAGCCCCCCCCTCTGCACGTGCCTGCTGATATGCAGTAACTAACGTGACTGATAGACGCTGTTTGCTGAACGATTTGTTCATTTGAACTGAAACTGAGTGAAAAAGCAGCTAAAGGTAAAATGAAAATCATCCATAATGTCAGTGGCAGGAAAACGTCTGCTGATCCGCTAAAAGCACGTGTAGCGCGTTAGCTAACTTTAAAAACATTTAGAGCCACTAAATTAATTTTTCCATATAAAGTATAACTTCACTGTTTGTGATGCAGCAAATGACGTTTATTCTGTACCCAGAATGCATCACTGCTGACGGTTTACAGTTTGAACTGCTGGTGTCCTGATGTCTACGATCAATTAGGCTAAATTAGTAGAGCTAGCAAAACTCAACAACTGAAAGTTTAGAAAAAACCCTTCCCGACCTTTACAGCCTGGTGTAATGTCGGATCTGACCTGTGGAGGGCGATAAAGAACACATGTTCAGTCATTGACACATGGTGGGTATCAACATGGCTGAAGTAAGAGCTTTAGCATTAGCTTCAGCTAAATACCGTTAGCGTCTGCTAAATCCTTCAGGTGTGTTCTGTAGATCCAACCAGCCGATCCTCTGAGGTTCTGATCCAGAGAGACGTGATTGGTTGGCTGGTTGGCCATGATGAGAACTTCCTGTTCCTGTTCTTCACTTCCTGAAGAAGCTCAGCTGGACTGAGACCCAGTGAAGGAGGAGAACCCGACCTGACTGATTGAACTCAAACTCTCCTCTCTCAACAGTTCAAGACCAAATATGGAAAGAGGAAGGTCCATGTGACGGTCACGGTGAACGAGTCGCTCTTCAACTCCACCAACGGCACCCAGGAGGTCATGGAGGTCACCAGGGAGGAGGTGATCCCCATACCTGGCCAGGTGAACGGGGTCAACGCTCTCGGCCTGGTGGTCTTCTCCATGTGCTTCGGTCTGATAATCGGCAACATGAAGGAGCAGGGCCAGGTCCTCAGAGACTTCTTCGACAGCCTGAATGAAGCCATCATGAGCCTGGTGGCCATCATCATGTGGTAAATCTTTGTTCTCCTGGTCCGGACCTGAAGCGGTCGACCTGCAGTCACTCTGGTCTTCGTCTCCTTGCAGGTACGCTCCCATCGGCATCCTGTTTCTGATCGCAGGGAAGATCGTGGAGATGGATGACCTGACACAGATGGGCGGCCAGCTGGGCATGTACACCATCACCGTCATCATCGGGCTGCTGATCCACGGCGTTCTCATTCTGCCCACGCTGTATTTCGTCATCACTCGACAGAATCCCTTCATCTTCATCGCTGGGCTCCTACAGGCTCTGGTCACGGCTTTGGGAACATCTTCCAGGTGAGGAAGGTTTTCTTCTCTCTGCCAGTCACTCATCAAGCACCAGGCCACCTGCTGGGCCCTCTGACCACCAGCAGGTGGCGCTAGTGAAATGTTCTGCCCAAAGACACATTGACAGATCAGGAGTCGAACCGGCAACCCACCGACAGAGGGACAACCTGCTACCACCGTCGTCCAAATGAAGCTTCTATCTTCAGCCTCAGCTAAAGCGTTAGCCTAATCCGTTAGCCTCATCCATTAGCCTCATCCGGTAGCTTTGTTTCCATCCAAATGTCAGGATGAATTCTGATATTTTTTAAATTTCTTCTCCATCTGCTGGTTCAGAGAATTAAGAGATAAAAAAGTCACTTTGAAAAATGAACCTTCATGTTTTCATCCTGAATGATCTGAATTATTATTGAGTCTGTAACTTTACAAACTGCAGATCTAGAGTTGGAAATCTAGACCATCTAGACTTTCAGACTGACTTCCAGCTGAGATCTGAGTCTGTGTGACTCTTGAAGCCCGGTCCGGGTCGTCAGGCGGACTCAGAACCAGCGTTCTGGGTCCGGTCGGTACCGTAGTTCCTCTGAAGCGTCTGTTCTGTCCGTGTCGCCGTCCAGCTCTGCCACGCTGCCCGTCACCTTCAAGTGTCTGGAGGAGAACAACCGCATCGACAAGCGGATCACGCGCTTCGTGCTGCCGGTCGGCGCCACCATCAACATGGACGGCACGGCTCTGTACGAGGCGCTGGCAGCCATCTTCATCGCCCAGGTCAACAACATGGAGATGAACTTCGGCCAGATCATCACCATCAGGTAAACAAGGGTAACCATGACGACGGTTCTGTAGAGAACAACCAGTAAGACTCACTGGTTTCTGTCTCCTGACTGGGAAGCATCACAGCGACGGCAGCCAGTATCGGCGCCGCCGGCATCCCGCAGGCCGGCCTGGTTACCATGGTGATCGTACTGACCTCCGTTGGACTTCCTACTGATGACATCACTCTCATCATTGCAGTTGATTGGTTCCTGTGAGTATAATCCCAGTAAACACGACCAACTGGGGCAGCAGGTGGGCTCCACTGGGGTCATTGCAAAGGTCATTCTAAAGGTCAACGGCAGCTCCACATCCTCCAGCACCTACTGACACACTTCTCCTTCTCCCCGGAGCCTCGTGCCACATCTTCCCTTTATTGAATATTTTAGAGTTTTAACATAGAAACATAATTAGGTTCTCAAATTAATCATTCCAATTAGAAAACCAGGACCAGAAACGGCTCGGCTAACTGGGGCGACTGGAGAAACGGCTCGGCTAACTGGGGCGACTGGAGAAACGGCTCGGCTAACTGGGGCGACTGGAGAAACAGCGCGACCTTCAGCTGGAGGCCGACAGAGCCCAGTTCAGGGAGGTTCTGCTCACGGCGGGACGATGGGAAGACTTTTACCACTGAGGGAGAAGCTAAAATATAAACTAAAATCTAAACTTCCACTCCTGGTGAACCTGGATTAGCTTCAGTTCATGTTTCTACAGCTTCCCGGTTCTTATATTTACGGGGATGTGAATTAATGTGTGAGCAACAGACAACCTTAATCAGTGGCGCAACTACACATAAATCGCCCCCCTAAGCGACGATACGTGAAGTGT